GGAAATTATTTCAGACAGAAGTCAGACCTTACTGTTCATCAAAGAACACATACAGGAGAGAAGTCTTATGAATGTAAGAAATGTAAAAAGTCCTTTACCCAGAAATCAAACTTCAACACAAAGAAGAGAATTCACACATGTGAGAAAAGTTATGAATGTAACAAATGTGGAAAAATTTTTACCTATATGGTACACCTTCATCTTCATCAGAGAACACACACAGGAGAAAAACCTTATGAATGTACCACATGTGGAAAGTTTTTTATTCATAAGTCACACCTTTGTCGTCATCAGAGAATACACACAGGACAGAAACCTTATGAATGTAATGTGTGTGGAAAGTCTTTTACCCAGAAGTCAAACCTTACTGTTCACCAGAGAACACACACAGGAGAAAAACCTTATGAATGTACCACATGTGGAAAGTTTTTTATTCGTAAGTCAAACCTTTGTTGTCATCAGAGAACACACACAGGACAGAAACCTTATGAATGTAATGTGTGTGGAAAGTCTTTTACCCACAAGTCACAACTTACTGCTCACCAGAGAACACACACAGGAGAGAAACCTTATGAATGTACCACATGTGGAAAGTATTTCAGACAGAAGTCAGACCTTTGTCGTCATCAGAGAATACACACAGGAGAGAAACCATATGAATGTAATGTGTGTGGAAAGTCTTTTACCCACAAGTCACAACTTCCTGACCACCAGAGAACACACACAGGAGAGAAACCTTATGAATGTACCACATGTGGAAAGTCTTTCAGACAGAAGTCAGGCCTTTGTCGTCATCAGAGAACACACACAGGAGAGAAACCTTATAAATGTAACACATGTGGAAAGTATTTCACAAGAAATTCATACCTCATTGTCCATCAGAGAACACACACAGGAGAGAAACCTTATGAATGTGACAAATGTGAAAAGTGTTTTACTCATAAGACGGCACTTTGTCATCATCAGAGAACACACACAGGACAGAAACCTTATGAATGTAATGTGTGTGGAAAGTCTTTTACCCACAAGACACAACTTACTGACCACCAGAGAACACACACAGGAGAAAAACCTTATGAATGTACCACATGTGGAAAGTCTTTCAGACAGAAGTCAGGCATTTGTCGTCATCAGAGAACACACACAGGACAGAAACCTTATGAATGTACCACATGTGGAAAGTATTTCAGACAGAAGTCAGGCCTTTGTCGTCATCAGAGAACACACACAGGACAGAAACCTTTTGAATGTACCACATGTGGAAAGTATTTCAGACAGAAGTCAGACCTTTGTCGTCATCAGAGAACACACACAGGACAGAAACCTTATGAATGTACCACATGTGGAAAGTATTTCAGACAGAAGTCAAACCTTACTGTCCACCAGAGAACACACACAGGAGAGAAACCTTATGAGTGTAACACCTGTGGAAAGTCTTTCACTTGGAAGTCAATCCTTACTAAACACCAGAGAACACACAGGAGAGAAACCTTATAAATGTAACAAATGTGAAAAGTGTTTTACTCATAAGGCGGCACTTTGTCATCATCAGAGAACACACACAGGACAGAAACCATATGAATGTAACAAATGTGGCAAGTCCTTCACCTGGCGTTCACAACTCAGCAATCATAAGAGAATACACACCCATGAGAAAACTTAGGAATCTGATAAATATGGAAAGTCTCATCTGGAAGTAAAATCAGTTTGCATCAGAGAACCCAAATAGGATAAAAGCCTTGTGAATGTAGCAAATATGTGGTCTTTTACCCAGAAGGCATACCTCATGGTTCCAAATTGAATGAACTCAGGAGAAAAATCTTATGAATAAAAAAATGTGAAAATTTTTTAGAAATAATACTTAAATTTTCATCAGAAAACACACAGGAGAGAAACATTATGAATGAAACAAGCATCAAAAAGTCCTTCACTAAGAAGTC